CATTTACTTTTTTGTAAAAAGTACACTGAGAGCCGCCTGACACTGACAAGTACTTTTTACAAAAAAGTAAATGTCTGTGGAAACAGACAAAATTTGTCTGTGTACACAGACAACTTTTGTCTGTGGTCACAGGCAACTCCGTATCAATTGTCTGTGACCGGCATTGTGTGTACAACTTGTGTACCTATATATATACTCCCTCCGTCCCTCTATTAAGTTCCTACTTTGACCTACACACATATTTAGAAAATAAATTTGACTTTATTGTTTAGACATTGTTTGACACTGTTTAGACACTATTTGGCACTGTTTTGCATTGTTTTGATGTAGGATAACTTTCCATTTAGAGAAATGAGAAGATTATTTTGGGACGGCCCACAAAGAAAAGTTAATAGCGGGATGAATGGAGTATTTATATACTACGTATATAGATAGATAGCGACTGATTCTACGTCAACACTATCCCAACCAATTTCTTTCACATGCTTTACAGTTTTTAAAAGTAAAGATTATTAAATCAATTTTGCTCTTTGTACCCACCCATTGTACCCACCCTATACACACTACAAATACCCAAAAAAAATTACCCCACTTTCACCCCATTACTCCTTCTCACTTATCTCTCCTCTCTCAGCCCTCCCCCTCCCTTCTTCCACGCATTTCCCTTCTCCCCCATTCCTTCTACGCCATTTCTCTCCCCCCTCACTTCTTCTGCGCCATTTCCCCCCTCCCTCCCCTTATTTTACATCTGCCTTCACAGTTCAATCCTTCACCCAATAAAATCAAATAACTTGGATAGAAAAAGCTTGAAGACCAACCCTAGTATGAACGAAGATCTTCTGGCTCAAACTGATGTAGACGGAAGGTAGGGATAAAGACGGCTGGTCTACTTCGAATATAGCAATGAGCAGCAACTTGTAAATGTAAGATTCAACCTATGTTTTTCTCTACCTTGTTCATTGTGTTTCTTGTACATTTCAGATTTTTTTTCCTGATTTGATGTATATAAAATATGTTAATGTTGAATGTTGGAATTGATATATTGTTATAGATCTGTGATGCTTATTATTGAAGTTTTAACTCAAAGTATTCTATTTCACTTTTATGTCCAAAAGATGTTTGTAGAAATGACTCAAATGAATTTTTTATTCATATCCACAATTTTGTGTGTTCATTTTTTTTGTTAAATCCTTTGACTATTTTATTTTATTATTATGAATTTTATATTTATGTTATTGAGATATGAAGTACATAGTATTAGTTTTTAAAATCTACTAAATATTGTTCATACATATACTATATTTTTTAGAAATTTATTTCAATTAAATGTTGGGTTTGAATATGACTTGCTAATTGTGATTGCTTCTAGGTAATAGAAATTCATATTCAATACAGTTGATGTAATCTTTTTGTAAAATGGGTAAAGACCTTAGGCTAATTATGATTGGTCCTGGGTAAAGACTAAAAAGTGGATTGAGGAAGTATATTTTTGTAAAAATCTGAAACACAAAAATTGGAAGTATGAGTAAAACAGTAATTTTAGCCAAAAGGAAAATACAAAAAACAAAAACAGTAATTTCTATCAATGCTTCTTTCTATTCTAAATGCTAACGTTTCAAATTGGTGTTGTAGATATAGCTGAACGTATTAATATTCTAGTGGCCTCTAAAACAATCATGAGATAGAATTCAACATTGGGCTTTTCAGGTTATGCCTCCATCACTATTTTTAAGCACATGCTATTGATGCATCTATCATTAAGTTTTTCTACCTCTATCAGTATTTTGAGTGAATATTTGTTATGCACTATAGGACCAGTTCTTTTGTATGCATGTAGGCCGAAGTATCTTCGCTCAGGATACATCATGCGTCATTAAAGATGCTGCAAAGTCGTTTATTAATTTAAATGAGAAGGTAGTATGGGTTCTACGTGTCTGTTTCAATTTCTCACCTTCTATGGTGCCATTGTGTTTTTCCTATGTTCTATGTGATGTTATCATTTCACACGTATTCTTATGAATCTGTGTTTGTATTTGTTAGGATCACTAACACGTATTCTTTACCGGATTGACTTGTATATATCTGTATTTTTGGATTTAAGGTGGAAAAACATCAACAAAGTACCCTGGTGAATAGAAGAAGCTTCTTTTGCTGCTGCTGGATTGCTTCTTGAAATAACTTCTACTTCTTGTACCAGACAAAGTTGCAAAATTATGTGAACAAATCTTGTTAAAATTTAGAGATTAAGGCCTCAAATGTTTGTTGTACACCTGTCTTTAGTTCTAGACAGCATAAGACGGCTGCTCTTAGTTTAGTGAGAGTTTTGGTTACATTTGAGAGATAAAGACAAATGTTATAGAAATACATTCATATTTTGATAATATATGGTACTCCGTATATTCTTCTGTATTGTGCATGAGTTCTTTTAACCTATACAAACCAGACGTGGTATATTGTATTTTATTTAAAATGACTTATAATGTCGTTTTTTTAAATAACCAACGTGGTACATTTAACTATTTTTTAAAAACGAGCTTTTTACGTCAGTTTAGAAATTGACGTAATATGTCATTACCTATAACGTTCATACTTTCCCCGTTTCCTGTCACACTATAAACCAACATTAAAAGGTATAAATAACCGACACAAAAGGTCCATTTTGTAGTAGTGATATTATGTCATTGTAGTGGCTATTGTCTGTGACTAGACACTTCATATCTAGTTCACACATAATTCCACTTAACACATTAACCTATTTCAATGGTATTGTCTATAAATATTGGATAAATAACAAAAAATATCAAACATCTTCATTTATTATGCAAATTGTCATACAAAAGATTCCGAAATAGCAATAGTTATATACATTAAAAAATATTCACTTCTACAATGTGATAATTGCATTTGCAAGTTGCAACAACTCACATATCTTCATTTCTCCAAACAGTATAAACAAACAATATAAAGAAACACACAGACAACTATTTTTTATACACAAACAAAATAAACGAACACACAGACAATATAAATGAACGCAGAGACAATACAAATGAATACACAGACAATTTTTCACGCACAAACAAAATAAACGAATACATGTATAATGTTTTAACCACACACAAACAATATAAAAAAAAGCACAGACAATATAAACGAACACACAAACAATGAAACGAATGAACAGACAATACAAATGAAAACACGGAGCATTATTTTCTACGCACAGATAAAATAAACGAACACAATGACAATGTTTAAATCATACACAAACAATATTTTTCTATGGACATTTTAGATAAAATTATGAAATACATATTCATCAATAAATAGAAGCATTTAGGAAGTACATTCTAGGACACTTTCAATTTTACATTCTAAATACATTTACATACTGAATATAAGAACAATAGAACATTACTTTACAAAATGACTATTACAAGAACTAATATTATAGAGATAAACAACATATATAATTCTTAATAATGTCATAGCTCGGCCGCCTCTTCCTAACCAAACTGCAAGGAATCGTTCGGATGAAGAGAAATTGCTTGCCCCGTATATATACCCACTGTTATTACATAGAGGTAAACAACCAGAGGGAAAGAAGTTGGCTCCTGCTAAACATGATATAAAGAAAACCATAATTAAAATTAACAAAAGTATTTGAATATACTTCAACAATTATAAAAGGCTCTTCGTGTCAATTGTGAGAAGTTTTGTGATAAAAATGTAGTAAGTTTTAGTAAACATTCCTCAAAGTAGCAAATGAGAGTACACCAGATATGATTAAACTTAGTTTGACGAGTAGCCCAAAATTATTCAAATACGGTTCTTATCCTATCTTTCAAAATTGAAATTATTATACAACTAACATAACAAATATAGCACTTCTAAACTCAATGTTTGAAGCTAAAACAATTGGTTTATAAAAGTATCCCATACTTTTTTAAAAGTATAAATCTCATACTTTTTTATCACTTTAGATATGTATGCTCTGTTTAGTTGAGGAGAAAAATAGAGAATAAGTAAATCAAGGTAGAAAGTAGGAAAAATTAAAATGTGAGAATTGCATAACATAACAGGAAAAACAAATCAAGGTAGAAAGTAACATGTATCCTTTGTTTGATTTCAAAGTCCACAAAAAGAAAACAATAAAAACCAAAGAGAGATCTTCACTAAAATGCACAATAGCAGAAAAACAAATCAAGATACTATAGCCAAACGTTCAAGCATCATGAACATAACAACATTTCATTGCAACATTTTATCAAACACATTATGGGCAGAAAAAAATGACCTCTTGAACATTAAATGTTATAATGAACACCATGCCTTCCTATGATGAAGCAAAATGGTCCAACAATAGTCCGTATAATATAAATAAAAACATACAATTTTACTAAAAACACAACCAAAACCTAAATAAACATTTACAAAAAAAGAGGAAGATTATTACCTAATGTGTTAAATTTAGGGGGATGGATTACTGGAGGGTGTCGGTGTGACTGAAAGGGCCGGCCCTTGCTCGAAGGTCCACCTGCAGTAAGTGAAAAATAGAGAAAGTAGGTTTTGTGAGAAATAAATAAAAAGAAATATGAATTATACATGGACTGAAGAACGCATACATAAGAGAAGGTATGTTTTGTGAGAATGAATTATTCATGAACGCGGGCATAGAGGAAGGGAGGGGGGAGAGAGAGGGAAAATGGCGCAGAAGAAGTGAGGGGGAGAGAAATGGCGTAGAAGGAATGGGGGAGAAGGGAAATGGGTGGAAGAAGGGAGGGGGAGGGTTGAGAGAGGAGAGATAAGTGAGAAGGAGTAATGGGGTGAAAGTGGGGTAATTTTTTTTTGATATTTGTAGTGTGTATAGGGTGGGTACAATGGGTGGGTACAAAGAGCAAAATTGTTATTAAATTCCCCCAACTACCGGTCAGTCTAGTAGTCTACAAAGGAGCTCTACCGCACAGCAATGGCAAGAAACCAGAATGGAGGAGGGGTTTCTGTTGTTGAAGGCGAGAGAAGAGGGTGGTCGGATAGGGTTGGGGTCTGTTTGGGCGGAGGTGAGGAGGTTAGGGTACTTGGCAGGTCCAATGGCGGCTGTGACTTTATCTCAGTATCTATTACCCATCATCTCTGTTATGATCGTTGGGCATTTGGGTGAGCTTTATCTCTCCAGCACCTCCATTGCTGTCTCTATTGCTGGTGTCACTGGCTTCAGTTTTATGGTGGGTACACATTCTTTTCAATTACATTTCTTCAAAAGATTGCTCTTTTTCATTCTTTGATAGTTAATCTTTATGCGTTTGTTGGCCATACTTCAAGGCTCCGTTTGATTGTACGAAAATAAGTTGATGTAGAAAATGTATTTCTTTGCACATGTTTGTTTCCCTGTAATATATTGTACATTGAAAATGTTTCTCTGAAGATTAAGAAATTAAGATGTTCTCTACCTATAAATGTTTAGTCCACACAAAAATACAAAACACCAAGCGGTTTCAAGAAAATGGCTTTTGTTCTTGAAACGAGATGTTTATTTTCAACAAAATTTCGGACAGTGAAGGAAAATAATCTCTACTGCAATTCTTCGAAGCAAATGTTTTTCCTATTGCAATTCTTGCTTGCTTTTGGCACGAGATTAAGGGTCTGTTTTCAACAGCTTCTGCTTTTTAAAAAGTGTTTTTTTAATGAAATGGGGAGAAGTGATTAAATAAAAGTTGATATTGTTTGAGAAAAAAGTGATTTTGAAAAGTAAAAGTGGGTAGTGTTTGGTAAAATAAGTGTTTTTTGTGTAATAGAAAAAGTGAAAGCACTTTTGACGCGGAAGCCGAGAAAAATAAAAGTTGTAATGTTTGGGAAAATAAGTGCTTTTTAAAGGCAAAAGCTGAGAAGTGCTTTTTTAAAAGTAGTTGCAAACCAACCCTAAGTAAGAAAAATTGTGCTGTTAAAACTTAGTTAGGAAAAGGTGAAATCCTTCTAAGATAGCATATATGCAATATAACAGTACCAAAAGTCTTATAATTGTATTTTTTTTTTCAATTTATTATTGTCAGGTAAACAGATATGTAACATTGTTCATTCATTATAAACCTGGCATGGAAAACTCAATTATTCACCGGACAAAGATTCTGACTTTTCTTTTCTGTTAGTTGATAGAAAGGACTAAAGTGCGTATTGATAGAACAGTTTTTGGTACATTCTGTTAGAAACACATGCATTACAGACATACCCCAGGGGCGGAGGTGGAGGGGTGGCCAACCGGGCCACGGCCCAGCCCAAATTTTAAAATTGTTTATATTTTTAATGTAAAAATTTATGTGTAAATTAAAAATTCTTTGTAGTGGCCCAACCCAACTCTTACTCCTGACTACGCCCCTTTCACATACGCGTATAGTTCTTTTGTTATAGTATGAACCTGTAATTTTGAATAGGAAGTGATAAAGCAAAGCAGTAATGCTACTGCCTACTGTGCTAGATATTTGAGGAATGTATATAGAGTGTAAAGACAAAGGGCTCCAGACATGATTCCATATACTGTCATAAAATAATCTTAGAATGCCATACGAGAAGAATTAGGAGAGAACGATGGGCTTAATAAGACCTTGGGTTGAACTAGCAAACAAATTAAATTCAATGTTATGGTCCTGTTGAATGATTTTAACCGTCAAACTCGATCCTGAATTTTCCAAATTAATAACATTATGATATTGAAAATCATAACGGAACAGATATTATAACTTCTCCTATTCTGACATCTTCTAACATTTTGAAATACAAAAGCTCTGTGTTACTAACTGTAATAATTCTGTTTAACTTATGATATACGGAGTATTCCGTATTTTTTTCGAACAGTTAGGAATGGCATGTGCTCTAGAAACACTTTGTGGGCAGGCATATGGAGCCAAACAGTACCGTAATCTTGGAAGACAAATGTACACTGCCATTTTCTGCCTTTTTATCATATCCATCCCCCTCGCGATCTTGTGGACCCATCGTGAATGGGCGAGCCGAACGTGAAAGAGACACGATGGCGCTGAGGGGCCGATCGTGCTGCATAAGACGGTCGTCGCCATCCTGGAAGGGATGGGCGGCCCGAACATGAGCCAGACACGATGGCGCTGAGAGGCCGATCGTGCTGCATAAAGACGTTCGTCGCCATCCTGGAAGGGAATGGGCGAGCCGAACCGTGAATCTGGACACGATGGCGCTGAGGGGCCGATCGTGATGCATAAGACGTTCGTCGCCACCCTGGAAGGGATGGACGAGCTGAACGTGAGCTGGGTACGATGGCGCTGAGGGGCCGATCATACTGCACAAGACGGTCGTCGCCATCCTGGAGGGAATGGGCGAGCCGAACCGTGAACTGGACACGATGGCGCTGAGTGGCCGATCGTGATGCACAAGACGTTCGTCGCCACCCTGGAAGGGATGGACGAGCCGAACCGTGAGCTGGGTACGATGGCGCTGAGGGGCCGGTCGTACTGCATAAGACGGTCGTCGCCATCCTGGAGGGAATGGGCGAGCCGAACCGTGAACTGGACACGATGGCGCTGAGTGGCCGATCGTGATGCACAAGACGTTCGTCGCCACCCTGGAAGGGATGGACGAGCCGAACCGTGAGCTGGGTACGATGGCGCTGAGGGGCCGGTCGTACTGCATAAGACGGTCGTCGCCATCCTGGAGGGAATGGGCGAGCCGAACCGTGAACTGGACACGATGGCGCTGAGTGGCCGATCGTGATGCACAAGACGTTCGTCGCCACCCTGGAAGGGATGGACGAGCCGAACCGTGAGCTGGGTACGATGGCGCTGAGGGGCCGGTCGTACTGCATAAGACGGTCGTCGCCATCCTGGAGGGAATGGGAGAGCCGAACCGTGAAGCCAGGTACGATGGCGCTGAGGGGCCGATCGCACTGCATAAGACGTTCGTCGCCATCCTGGAAGAGATGCGTGATCCGAACGTGAAAGAGACACGATGGCGCTGAGGGGCCGATCGTGCTGCATAAGACGGTCGTCGCCATCCTGGAAGGGATGGGCGGCCCGAACATGAGCCAGACACGATGGCGCTGAGAGGCCGATCGTGCTGCATAAAGACGTTCGTCGCCATCCTGGAAGGGAATGGGCGAGCCGAACGTGAAAGAGACACGATGGCGCTGAGGGGCCGATCGTGCTGCATAAGACGGTCGTCGCCATCCTGGAAGGGATGGGCGGCCCGAACATGAGCCAGACACGATGGCGCTGAGAGGCCGATCGTGCTGCATAAAGACGTTCGTCGCCATCCTGGAAAGGAATGGGCAAGCCGAACCGTGAATCTGGACACGATGGCGCTGAGGGGCCGATCGTGATGCATAAGACGTTCGTCGCCACCCTGGAAGGGATGGACGAGCTGAACATGAGCTGGGTACGATGGCGCTGAGGGGCCGATCATACTGCACAAGACGGTCGTCGCCATCCTGGAGGGAATGGGCGGCCCGAACATGAGCCAGACACGATGGCGCTGAGAGGCCGATCGTGCTGCATAAAGACGTTCGTCGCCATCCTGGAAGGGAATGGGCGAGCCGAACCGTGAATCTGGACACGATGGCGCTGAGGGGCCGATCGTGATGCATAAGACGTTCGTCGCCACCCTGGAAGGGATGGACGAGCTGAACGTGAGCTGGGTACGATGGCGCTGAGGGGCCGGTCGTACTGCATAAGACGGTCGTCGCCATCCTGGAGGGAATGGGCGAGCCGAACCGTGAACTGGACACGATGGCGCTGAGTGGCCGATCGTGATGCACAAGACGTTCGTCGCCACCCTGGAAGGGATGGACGAGCCGAACCGTGAGCTGGGTACGATGGCACTGAGGGGCCGGTCGTACTGCATAAGACGGTCGTCGCCATCCTGGAGGGAATGGGCGAGCCGAACCGTGAACTGGACACGATGGCGCTGAGTGGCCGATCGTGATGCACAAGACGTTCGTCGCCACCCTGGAAGGGATGGACGAGCCGAACCGTGAGCTGGGTACGATGGCGCTGAGGGGCCGGTCGTACTGCATAAGACGGTCGTCGCCATCCTGGAGGGAATGGGCGAGCCGAACCGTGAACTGGACACGATGGCGCTGAGTGGCCGATCGTGATGCACAAGACGTTCGTCGCCACCCTGGAAGGGATGGACGAGCCGAACCGTGAGCTGGGTACGATGGCGCTGAGGGGCCGGTCGTACTGCATAAGACGGTCGTCGCCATCCTGGAGGGAATGGGCGAGCCGAACCGTGAACTGGACACGATGGCGCTGAAGGGCCGATCGTGATACAGAAAAATAGTGATGATCATCTCATGGCCCTCGGCCTGTCGGTGAGTGATAATCGTCTCGCGGCCCTCGGCCGTGCTGGTGATGTGTCAAGTCTCTCTCCCGATTGGCTGTGGGAAGCCAATCGTCTGTCAGGACTTCTTTCGGGAAGGAATGGTGAGCCTGAAATAAATCTGGGTGATGTCCCTCCCATCTGATCTGAGGAGCTAGTCTTCGTTCGTCTACCGTATCCGTGGTCCTATGTACGGACCGCTAAGCGGTGTACACTCGGCACGCACAGACTCCGGTAAAGAACTGGTCCATCGTGTCTGATCCATGGAGCTGGTCTTCGTTCGTCTACCGTATCCGTGGTCCTATGTATGGACCGCTAAGCGGTGTACACTCGGCACGCAACAGACTCCGGTAAAGAACTGGTCCATCGTGTCTGATCCATGGAGCTGGTCTTCGTTCGTCTACCGTATCCGTGGTCCTATGTATGGACCGCTAAGCGGTGTACACTCGGCACGCAACAGACTCCGGTAAAGAACTCGATTCTTCGTTCTTCCCAAGTCTCGTGAGTACTGGTCTCCTGGTTTCGCAGGAGACGTTCGTCATCCCAACTATGAGAAGAAACAGGTTTATCCACGTCGGGATTCCCTATTCTTCGTTCGTCCTTGTCGTGGTCCTACTAATCTTCTTACTTCGAAGAAGACGTTTGGTCATCCCACGATCGCAAGGAGGAACAGGTTTATCCACGTCGGGATTCCCTATTCTTCGTTCGTCCCTGTCGTGGTCCTACTAATCTTCTTACTTCGAAGAAGACGTTCGGTCATCCAACGATCGCAAGGAGGTCACTGGTTTATCCACGTCGAGATTCCCTGCTTCGTCGTCCCATGCTCGTGGCCCTACTAGCCTTCTGCTTTGGCAGAAGGTGTTCATCGAACCACGGGTCATGGGAGGAACTGGTTTATCTTGCCGAGGTTCCCTTTGGTACGTCTAGCCCCCCCCACGTTCCTACTAGCCTCCGCGTCGGGAGACGTTCGTCATACGCGGCGAAGGAAGATCAGGCATACCTCGTCAAGACTCCCTCTCTCATAGGATCTCGTCTCCCCTTCTCCCCATCTTTTTTTTTTTTTTTGAGGGAGGAAAATACGTTCGTCGGTTCCAAGAATAACCACAAGTGATGTCACACATAATGTCATGCGAAGGCGATGGTCACCCTCATGAAGGGAGGGGTGAGCCCGATCGCTAACTCAAGAAGGTCGGCATTGGGAGCCGATATACAATGATCATAATGTCGCTGAGCAGTCGGTCCTGATAATGGAGATGACAATAGTGTCCGGTCAGGCCGATTTATCCGAGCAACGGCTCTCATCCAACGCAGCGCGGGGATGAAACCGGTCTTCAAAAGATAAATATGTCGTGCCGAGAGGCCGAACATAACATGATAGTGTCGGCAGTGAGAGGCCGACCTGAAAGAATCAAACAACGGTCTTCGTCCGCGAGGTAGCGGGGACGAGGCCGGTCTTCGAAAGATAGGCACGCCGAGCCGAGAGGCCGGTCGTGGTATAATGGTGTCGGCAATGAGCGGCCGATCTGAGAAAATCAAGCAACGGTCCTCGTCCGCGAGGGCGGGGGCGAGGCCGGTCTTCAAAAGATAGGCACGCCGAGCCGAGAGGCCGGTCGTAGTATGATGATGTCGGTGATGAGATGCCGAACATGATGTGGCAGTGTCGGCAATGAGGGGCCGACCTGCAATCCAGCAACGGCTCTCATCCGCGCAGTGCGGGGATGAGGCCGGTCTTCAAATATGGAAAGCACGCCGTGCCGAGAGGCCGGTCGTGATATAGTGTTGTCGGCAATGAGAGGCCGATCTGAGAAAACAAGCAACGACCGTCATCCGCGAGGAGCGGGGATGAAACCGGTCTTCAAATATGGAAAGCACGCCGAGCCGGGAGGCCGGTCGTGATTTAATGGTGTCGGCAATGAGAGGCCGACCTGAAATCAAGCAACGGTCCTCATCCACGCATCGCGGGGATGAGTCCGGTCTTCAAATAAGATAATCATGCCGTGCCGAGAGGCCGGTCATGATGTAATGATGTCGGCAATGAGAGGCCGATCTGAAATCAAGCAACGGTCCTCGACCGCGCAGCGCGGGGACGAGGCCGGTCTTCAAATAAGATAATCATGTCGTGTCGAGGGGCCGGTCATGATGTAATGATGTCGGCAATGAGAGGCCGATCTGAAATCAAGCAACGGTCCTCGACCGCGCAGCGCGGGGACGAGGCCGGTCTTCAAATAAGATAATCATGTCGTGCCGAGGGGCCGGTCATGATGTAATGATGGCGTCAGACGGCCCTCGGCCGTGACGATCTCTTCTAGGCCCTCGGCCGCTGAATGACGGGTGATCGTCTCACGGTTCTCTGTCATGGCATTCGCCTCTAGACCCTCGGCCTCTAGGTGTTCTTCCTAGGCCATCGGTCTCTGGGGTGGAGATGCTCGTCCCACAGTTCTCAACCGTGGTGGTCTCCTCTAGGCCCTCGGCCTCTGGGTGGAGATGCTCGTCTCTCGGCTCTCAGCCGTGATGGTCTCCTCTTTAGCTGGCCCTGAACGTCCTTGAGACTCAGGCCGAGCGTCTTTTAATCATTTCGCTCGAGCGCGTCGAGCGGCTTCATCTGCGCAATAAGCATGGTAACGGGCCGCACGGCCCGACAATATGTATACACACATAACCATCTGCATGGCTTTCTCTTTAACATCCACGATTACCGGCCTATAGGCCATCGTGACCCTCGGCCCGGCTCATCGTGCGGGGTTAATGGACGTAGCAGCTCGCGGCGGGGCCAATTAGCAGCCCGCCGAATCGTCACATAGATATATTCATCGGTCTGTGAGTTCTCAAACTCAGACCCAAGTTGGTCGCACCGCCCTCGGAAACACGAGGCCGAGCGCTTCGGTGCCCTCGGGCCCCACAGGCCGCGTTTGGCACAGTCACTTCGCCTAGTGGCGCAAATTACATTGGGGTATGATCGTCGATCGGGCACGTAGTGCCATGCGGACTAATGCGCAACCCTCAAATTAAAATGCGTCGTCGGGGCGTCGCCCTTCTGGAGACGCTCGGATCACTTAATCAAAGCTGATCGAGAGTGGGCTAAAGGCCCCACAAACAATTAAACATTTAATAAAATGTTGGCCGAACTAACTATCACTAGAGCTTCGCTCCGCATCATTTAATTCGGGACATTTTTATCCCTAATAAATAATAGTGATGTACGGGTAGTAATAATAGTATTATCCTACCAAAGGCCATTCCGGTATGCTCCGCCCGCTAATTTAAGCCGATCAGGAGCGGGCCAACGGGCCCACAACAACCAGTCATTAAATTTAAATGACGGTGAAAACTAAATATCACAAGAGCGTCGCCCGACATTATTTAATTTTGGGAGAATTTATTCCCCAAATAAATAATGGTGATAAAAGTTAACTAATAATAATGCTACTATAAACCAATTAAAGCGTAGGAATGGTTTTACTTAGCTTTGGGATAGATGTGCGGCCAGCTAAGAATCCAGAAAATAATTTTGATTCCTTTGACTTGGTCAATCTCTCCCAAGAGCCAAGGACTTCGATTGATTAGCCACTCCCAAGTCCAGAGTTGAGGCACGTCCAAGCCAATTCCCCAAGAAACTAGCCCCTTTTACTTGGCCTGGATTTCACGGACGTGGTGCGCTTAGGTCCAAGCAGCGATGTACGGAATATCCCCTAGAAAGGCCAGCCGCGTGTGCCGGCTACTTCCGCCGGTGAGGTCGGCGGTTGCATCAGAGCAAAAGGCGGCCGGGGAAGATGGTCTCCGATGGAAAGTCGGCAGAATTCCGAAATACACACCTTCCTGAGCTCCAAATCGCCATTAATGGCAGAGACTAAGGATGTGCTGGCTGGAAAAATCCCTGAGTTGGGCCGGCAGCGAGGTTGAGTTCCGAGCAACAACTGGCCAGACGGAGGAGTGACCACTACCTCTGATCTTCCGCCGGTGCGGTGAACTGCGGCGGGCTCAGGGAGCTTCTGGCGTTACACGACGGCGGTTCGGCAGGTGCTCCGGCGGCGGCGATGCTCTGGCGGCGGTAGATAAACAGAGAAAAATCCAGAGAGCCCAGATTTCCCATAATCATTTTCTTTCGTTTTTTGTTGTAGAAACTGAAGAACAACGTGAATCTTTTTGGACAGATTCCCACAGACGGCGCCAGTGTTGAGTTTAATCCAACACGATATAGTAAATATATGTATAAATGTGTATGAACAAGCTATTTTTACGTGGAAACCCGGAAAGGGAGAAAACCACGGGACTTTTTAGGCTAATGTCCAAGCCCTCTCTTTCTCATTAGGACTCTCGTCACCATTACATAGTACATTTTGAGCTCCCATTCATGGAGTATTATCTAATCTAGAGAGCTAAAGGAAGAAGGAAAAGATCCATAATATGGAGGCTAAGCTCCCTATTTATAGACAAAGGGAAAGGGTGCTCTCCACCCTAATGGGCCAAACGGGCCAATATCGGGCCTAATGGGCCGAAATGGGCCTAGCTGCTCGGGCTCCGTACTGGATAATGTCTTGGGCCCCTGAACAGTAATAGGCCGGGATAATATATCCCAACAATATTCAAGCATAATAGAGTTTACCCAGATATGAATGATACACAATTACACACATATATAAATTGTTGACTTGGATAAATAAATTTATACTGAAAGTGATAATAAACATCAAAGGGTACATACCATCACTCTCACCCATTTTAAATTCAACCTTTTCTTGGATTTTTGGGCATGATTAATCGTCACCCCTCTGAAAAAGAAACACAGTCATTATTAAATTCAACCGATCCAATATTTTCTCATAAAGTGTACATACAATCAAGATTTACATTTAAAGGGCCTATGTAACTTGACTGATTCACGATTTCCTCCAAATCCTTCGATGGAATTCCTCCCAAGGAATCTAGGTAGTAAATCGTTTCAGCCGCCATGTCGATGGCGACCAACACCCAATGATTCCTACATAACAATGAAACTATATGTAATTAGAAAACTAGAAAAGCACCATTGTTTGCAAAAATACAAGTCACTTGCAAAAGAGATTACTTACCCGATATTATAGGGGATTAAAGTCATTTGTCCAAGCAAGGAAATATCCAAAAGATCAGCTATGTATTGTGACCTCCTAGTAACAGCTTGGTGTGATGCCCTCTTTGGTATTGCTATGGCAGCAGAAGTACCAAACTGTACTGGCATGTCTCCTCCATCAGCCTCCATTTTCTCATGCAGGTACCTATTAAGTTATTACTCATCAAGTTGAATTAAGTTCATTCATTTTGATGTTTATAATAAGATACTCTTACCGCTTAATACTATAATACAATAATGATTTTAATGCAACTAAATGTAATATATACCAAACGGGAACTTATTACCTCGCCCAAATTTCAACAACTGAATTTGAAACCTGCTCAAAGTTGATAACACAGCGGCAAACCTCCTTGTTAAACATAGATTTTGTTTGGAATCCAAAAATTTCAGCATCTTGCTTGATGCTGTTCATCTCTCCTAAACAATTTTCCACTAAAATGCAAAACATCGTCATGTTAGCGCTTTGTTCTTTACTTTATTCAGCAACGGACCTGGTCATTCGTTGTACATTTAGCTGGGACTTAGCTTTCATTCCAGTCCTTCTCTCTTTCACAAATACCACTTCGCACCCCTGTTTTTGTTTTCCCTCCACTCGGTCATTCTCCATATTTGCTATTGACCGATCTTTTCCCTTTTCGGGCTCTGCAAGAGACTGATCTTCCTCTTCATTCATATCTTGTATGTAGCATAAAGTGTGCATGTAATTTACAAACATTACTATCGTATTTAATCAAAAAAACATATGCAACTGGACGTCTAACCATATCATGGGAGTGAGCATTGGGTTTTCCTAAAGTATCCTTGTTTATGTGCTGAGGGGAATTTCTGGGAACGCTTCCAAATAGCTTCTTCCGATGAGTAAATACTGGTTTTTCCACCTCTCCAACAGTCTATATCATAGAAGTTAACTATTTATTAATAACTATAGCTCATTAAACATTCACTTAAAGATGTAGTTGTACATACCTTCTGCATTCCACGACTCTCACCCTCGGGTTGTTCATTATTACCCTCCATTTTAGCATGTTTTGACTTGAACCTGGGAGATCTTCTGGGAGCACTGCAGGGTTCCTTCAAAGGACTAAGTATCGACTGCTCAAACTCTCCACCGGCCTTCAAATGATAAATACGTATTAATAATAAAAGTGTAAATAAGGTGCAAAATTATATACTAAAGTTATGTGTGTACCTTTCTTTTCTGAGATTTATTGGCATCGCTGCAACTACCAATTTCACTAAAAGCATTGGACACATGATCTTTCATTTCACTAAACTTCTGCAACATCATTGCATACCTTCTATCACATACGGCTTGTACTTTGTCCTTCTCGGTTTTGATTGCCTTTGGCGTGTGAAAGTATCGTGTTGGGGTAATGAAGTGCCCCAAACCCTGTACTCTACTGCCATTTGGTTTTTTCTGAAGAGCAACTGAGAGCACATCATTGTCTCCATGAGGCACAAATGATCCTTCCTTCACTTTATTCTTGAGCTCCTTCTACACAAACAAACATGTTACATCAGAGCATTACTAGAGCATTACCATATTGTGTCAAACACCATTTTTTTTTTGTTCTAAAAAGAGCATAAAAAGAGTCAATTAATTGACCTCAGTACACTGGGAATCATTACTAAAAGAAGCATGTTCATATTCATAAAATTATTACAACCCTTACTATTTCTTCTGCAACTTTCAAAACCTCAGGATCATATCCACCATCTTTTCTTTCTCTTCCCAAGAGCCATGTATCCGCTCGATCAATGTCGTTGACATTACTTCCAAGTTGTTCTTTCTTTCAGTTTTGAAAACAGAAAAGGTAAATCATCTAAATACTCATATACACAATCGAATAATTAAAAATGGAAGATTAGAACAAACCTTATGTATAAGTAACCCTCCATAACCTGTTGAACCTAATCGGTGATTATATATATTCTTCTTTCGATTTTCACTTGCTTTTTTGCTTTTTTCCTAAAAGCATTTAACAAAGTTATTACATATATTCACAAATGTTTCTACTTATATGAAATGCATTAGTAAGTTCTATTACCTGGAATTCATCTGTAAAGCACCACTTCACAAACATTCTCCATTCATCAGTACTAATGTGCTTATATTCTTCTGGAGGTAAGCTTAACTTCTCGGGCGCATCCATGTGTTGTGCAATGAATTCAGTGTACAAAGTGCACCTACAATTTTTATGTGCAGCTGACATTGTTTGGAGTATATGTTTCTCCGAATTAGTAGGCAACACAAACAGATCCTACATCCAAAAGAACATTAAATTATTGAAAGAATAATAAAAACATAAAGACTACAAATAAACTGAAAGAATTAAACACTTAAAGACTAAAAAAGTAATTGACAAAGTTAATAGCAGCACACATGCATACAATTGATCTACGATTTTCTGAGTTAAGCATAGAAAATTGTAAGAACTCATCAACTCCGTTTCTGTATTCTTCAGACAACCTGTTACCATCCTTTATCCAAGACCTATCCATCTTTCAATTCCTGATAATTATTAGATCCCAACAAAATATTTAACATACATGTTTAAATAACATATGCAAACACTTGGAAGAAATCAGGGGGAATACTTTAACCAAAGAATTATGTTTAGTTTAATGTTATTACTTTCATATCTTCTACACATTTTAATATTAACCAAAGAACTTTAGTTAACAAAACTGAAAAAATATGTTTAGTAACTTTGTTTTAGTCTATTTAGTTAAGGTATTGAGTACTCTGCTAGTTTAGATAACAAACTAAAAAGATTTGTATAAGAACTTTGTTTTGAACTCACCGATAAACTAATAATGCCTTGAATGAATAGTAGAATTCATTTTCATTTACAACTTTGTTGGACCAATAAAATTGTAGCAGGGATAGAGAAAGTACTCACAAGAAAATGTTAAAAACAGGTCCGCCTTTAGAACTTTGGAGGCCCTAGATGAAAAAAAATAAGATCCATAAATTATGTTAATGTCATTCTATAACAAAAAATAATATATATATAGATATTTAGTTTGGTCTTCTATATTTTTTAGTGAGAATCACAAATCAAACAAAATAACTAATTTGTCATGATAGATAGATAAATATTTATATTGGATGGCACCATCTAATAAACGAAAGCTAAAACTACTTTATGTATTTGCTAAATTATTTGATTTATCAAAATAGAACACTGGAATAAGCAATATTAAGTTACTAACCCAATAATGTATATTCATTGATCTTTAATCATAAGCCCAAGTGCCTAATAGCAGTAACTTTTATCTTTTATAGTTTAATAGTTTTATTTAAGTGTAATATTTACATCAAGTAATCAAGCTGTATAGCAGGGAGGTCTTTGATGCATCCTCAAGTAATTTTTTCACACTATGGCATCATTTATCCAAGACTTATCCATTTGAATACTAATACCTAGTTTAGAGTACAAACAAAAACTCAAAATAGTATACATAAATGACAAAACATGAAAATTAGCTCATAAATATTTTAATTTGGAGTTCTACGTTTCAGTTTAATGATATAGGAAATAAATATATATAAATCCTCAAAAACTGAAGCACACATTTGAATAAACAAAGGAAATCAGTTTTTCCCCCTCCCAAGTCATACCAATATCTATAAATAAACAAAGCAAATCAGTTTGGGATATGTAAAACAATTATACATTAATCACATTTCCTTATTGAATTAGAGTTGCAATTTGATATAAATGAACTCAAAAATATATTCTAATAGAGTAATAGTGTAATGTTAAAACAACTTGAAACTAAAAACTAAAATATTCTGATGACATTTCATACATACAACTCACTGATGTTAGGCTTCTCAATTCTTTGAGGAGTTTTGTCAAACACATTGTATGCAAACAAGAATATTGAGTTGCTTCATATTTGTTTCACAAACTACTTAATATATATCGAGCATGAGTTTCATCACACACATTCATATGTAGAAATGCACTCAGATGTTTACTAAGTAACCAAAATCAGTTTCTATGATCATACTTTGGGATGTAAAACACAAATCAAATCTAAATATTATAGAAAATAAGAGATAATATTGATGAAAACTGAAAAAACAATGAAGTGGTGGACTAAGTACTTACTGGAGTTGTACGTGGGCGGCTAGAGAAGAGAACGAAAGAAGCGACGGAGTACAGGGACGGGGTGCTGCAACGGACTCAATCAATTGAACTGTTGAGGGGTGCCATGGACTAAATCGATCAAACTCGGGTGACGGAGTATGTGCTCTAGCTTTGGACGAAGAATCAGCCGGTTGAGAAGGATATTAGCGAGAGTATGGCAGCGATCGGAAGAAATTAACGATGGAAATCGATAGGAAGGTAGCTAGGGTTAGTTTGTGCGGCGGCTCTAGCTCTGGAAGAAGGCATACATGGATCGATGGAATTTTCCTTTTGTGGGATAAGATAGGTTAGCTAAGTGTGAAAAAAACAAGTGTTAAAATTAGCTAAGTTAAAAAATGTTAAAGCACACACCGGCCTACCCGGCCCATTAAGTGTCACTATTAGGCAATGATGTTTTTTTGTTAGAAATTAGTGACACTTCTATGTCATTGGTAGTATTCTGTCAGAAAAGTGTCACTACGAAAGTGTCACTGTAAGCCTGTTTTTTACTAGTGATAGCACCCTCTTGATGTCCTCAGAAGTGGACCACCACGTTTATGAAGTGCACTGTATACACGAAAATAAGACCTACTTAACTCCTTCCACACTTTATATATATGGTAAATTTCTATATGGAAAACTTAGTGAACTCAAATTGGAAGTGAGTAAGGGACACTTTACCTAATAGCAGATATACACATATCAGAATGTTTTGCAGCTTCTAATTTCATTTTGGAGTCGAATGACAGCCAACCATTTTAGTTCATAGGCCGAATGGCCCACATCTCTAACAACCTAACAACATCATGACCCCAAAACAAAAAGAAAGAATTATGGGAAACTCAACACTTCACTTACTTTTAAAATAAGCAAGACTATTTCACAAAAGTTTATTTTGTATATTTTTTATAGAAATATATTAATCCTTTGAAAGAACACAAAACTTTTTTTCATTCAAATTATTTATACCAAATTAACCCAAGAATTAGATGTGAGATGTAATAGCAAATTAATTTAAGAATTTGAAACTAAAATACCTAAAATATCAGATTCAAACCTAAATTAGTCTAACAATCAAAATAGTGATGTCAAATTAACAACATGATTCTGGAAAAATTGATTTTTTTTACCAATGAAACCTCAATGTATTAATACTTTGGTAGTTTATTTATTTTGACCATGAAAAGTTTATTGGGATTAGCTATTTTGCTCTTTTAGTAATGATTTTCCTTTAATTCTGTACTTTTTTTTATCTCTTTTTCGTTCTTGTACTTTTTTTTTCCTTTCACGCATTGTACTCTTTATTTATATCAATAAAATCTTCTTTAAAAAAAGAAAGAAATCCAAAACAAAGTCGTCAAAAGCAAAATTGGGATTAACTTTGGAAATCCCTAACTTTATGGTTAATATCCACCAAGAAGGTAACTGGCCATGAATACCAACGGGAAAAAGGTAAGTTGCAGAACATAAACAGAGGACGCAACTCGATCGAAGACTGGAGCAAGTTGTTCGAAGCCTGGAGAAAGGTTTTAGAAGATTTTTAAACAACGCTGAGTGCAGTGAAGGCTTGGTGTTTGATGAAGGTAGTCGCTTTCAACCCTTCTTTATACAAATGGTTTTAGATGTAGATTCAGATCTATTTTGGTTAATAGTTTATGAAGATATATATTGCATTGTTGTAATTTTATCTGAAAAACAATAAGTTTGGTTAATTGTTAATGGTTTATGAAGATATATATTGCATTGTTGTAATTTTATCTGAAATTCAATAAGTTTGGTTAATTGTTAATGGTTTATGAGGATATATATTGAGTCATTTTGTGTTTGTGTAAGTGGTTGTTCAAGTGAATGACTTCTGATTAAGTACAATTATCACATCAAAAAAAGTGCATGTGTTTAAGACAAAACATGCAAAATTGTGAAATGTAGATACATGATTGTGATTTAAAAAAAATGAACAAACCTATTTGGTTTAATTGCAGTCACATTAGAGTTGAAATAAGTTTCAATGCAACATGTGGAGTTGTAAGATGCATTTGTTGTGCTTAATGCACTTGAAATGTAAGAAGGTGTGATGCATTTCTATTAGAGTGACGATGCCGAGGTTTACTTTCTAAGATGCATAATTGCAATGAATTTGTCTTGTGTTTGTGTGTCATTTGTATGCATGCTTATGTGATACAAGATGCATTTAAAGTTAATTGAAAATGAAAGTGTGACAACACTGTGATGCACATAGTATTGGATCAATATAAACAGAAGTTAGGTGCAACATGTGGAGTTGTAAGATGCAATAGTTGTGGTTATTGTAGTTGGAATGCAAAACAATTTGAGGATGCATAAGTATTATGTTTAAATTGCAAAAGTTTAAGAAATGAGATGCATTATTTTGATATATATGACTTTTGCATGTGAGTGATGTAGATGCATAATTATATAGTACAAGATGCATTTACAATTAAGTGAAAATCAAAGTGTGATAAAAGTGTGATGCATAGTATTGATTCAATATTGATAGAAGTTAGGTGCAACATATGGAGTTGTAAGATGCAAAAGTTGTCCTTATTGTAGTTTGATACAAAACAATTTGATGATGCATAGATATTACTTGTAAGATGCATTAGTTAGTTTAAGAAATGAGATGCAATGTGTTGGTGAATATGACTTATGCTTGTGAGTCATGTAGATGCATAAATATATGGTACAAGATGCATTTAACCAAGCCAAGTATTGCTGGTCTCATAACAGTTAGATTAGTACTTGTGCTTATGAGTCAGGCAGTACGTACTGGTTAAATTTTGATTGAAAGTGAAAGTGTATATGCTCACATTGAAACTTATTCATATTGTGGTTTTCGTATGTGGCTAGTACAAGTAAGCTAAATAGAGTCATGTAATTATAATACAAAATGAAGAAAAGCATCAAGTGATACCAACAAAAAGGAAACAAGAAGGTGCATCGACAAGCAATGTGCAACAGAACAAAAAGGACAAAGGGGAGAGGAAAAAGTGCAAAGGTTACAAACTAACTTTTGACATATAAGAATCATTTCAAATTGTGCAAAAGTAATTTGAATTCTTGTCATTACATTAGAAGATACGCTCCAGTGATGAACATGCAACATGATGAGCGCAGAAAAATGAAGTGTGAGGCAAAGGCAGGAAAACAAATTCAAGTTTAATTTGATGTGGACTATAATATCATAAATTACATGCAGGTGTTGAGATCTGTACAAAAGATACTTTGTCATGTATAAGGCGACATCGACAATTGTAATGTGCAATACAAAAACATATAAAAATGCAACATTGTGAAGTATAAGATGATATTAACGGTTATATACCCTTGTCATAAAATGATGCATAAACGAATATTCAGTAATGCAGTACTTGTCATAGAATGATGCATAAACAAATATTTAATAATGCAAATGGTAAAGCAGGGACCAATAAAGACAATGACAATAACAATAATTTGAAAATACATACTACGAAATTAAAATACAAAACCATTAACATAAAAGTATATTAATTCCCGACATACAGTTTGTACGTATAAGCAGTGTCAAACAACATTAATAACAAACGTAAACTTTAACTTTAAGCAAGTCTATTTATTCAAGGGGCAATTCCTACTATCGTGATGCTCCATCTCATTGCACGATCTACAAAGTCTTTTGGGGCGTTTAGATTCTTCAATTGAAACTTCCTTGGAAGAACTCATCCTACGTCTAAAACCCTAATTTTTGCCTTCTGCGGGGGATGGACATCACTTCAGAGAACACACAACAACCCTAAAATGATTCAATTAATGACTTCTTTGTTGACCGTGACCAACACCTTCATGTAGAGAAAGCAGAATCTCCTTTTGGTCTTTAATTATACTTGAAAATTGCTTCAAGTAACTGAGGTTATTTTCAACAAGGGCCATACAAGCATGACAGACAACAAAGTGTTAACAGAGATCTTATTCTTCAAAAAAACAAAGATCTTATTCTCCCCCATCAATAAAGTCTGCTCAAATATGGAATCAGAAATTCAAGTCAATGGCTTCACTAAACCTTTCTTGCACCATCTGCTATTAACCTAATGGTCCGGAATGCGTTTGAATTTCAAGTCCTTTAGAACAACAAATATGTGTCGACCAATCATGCATACAATATACTTCATCGATATATGACCATCTCTGGCCTTCTTTGATAAATGATAACGAATAGTAAACCCCAACTCAGTGGCATAGGCTTTGGAAAATTTAAAGTCATCATCTAGATTAGCAAATATCAATCCAACAACCGGTTTCTTTTCGGGTGAACATTCAGGGATCTAGCACTTTGAACTCTCAGGAGAAATTTGAAAACCACAATTCGGATCTATATAAACAACAGACAATCTCTGATATTAAACATGAACAAAAAATGATAATAAAATACAATAAAAATATTAGTACTAAATGCACCATACAACACAAACAAATGCATAATACATATTTTACCCACTGCAAAAAAAATACATATTTTACCTTGCAAAAGACAAAATTGGAAAACAAACAGAATTTCAACAAAATAATTATGTTATCTCTTTACAATAATGAAGCTGCAGTTCGGCTTCATTCATAATTCATATACAATAGAGTACACATAAGGAAAACATACATACGAAGTGAAGGAGGGTAAAATTATCAACATTTAAATATGAAATTTGTTAGTGAGAAGATACATGATAAAATCAACCTCAATTGCGAATCAATTGCATGACTAGGACACACGAACAGAACACAAGATCAACATCTGAAGATTTTGTGTGTATATAAAACAGAGTTCATGAAAGATATATGAGTACCTGATTCCATGGCGTTCGATGATAATGAAGGAAGATGATTAACTGTAGCAAGGCATAATCTCGACGAAGAAGACAAGCGCGGAGATGAAATACATGATCGATCGGAAAGATGGGGAATGTGAGAATAAACGGAAAGAATGTGGTTATGAGAATGGAAAGTAACGAGTGTGATTTTTGTTCCATTATAGAAGTGGATTAATTGACTAAAACACCCTCAATTTAAATTAGTTGGCTGTGAACAATTAACATAGACACGAACGGTGATCTGCACTAAATGAATGGCTAGGATTAGTTTGTAGGTTAGTATATTAAGCCTAATTTGTATTTGATCTCTATTCTAATTCCAATATGATCAATTTGTATTTTGTAAATTAAGTTGGCTTAGATGGAAGGCTAATACATTGTACGCATCAGAATCCAAATACAATATGGTCTTTGGTCATATACAAAGTTGTAAGGTGTTAGTGACTGTATAACCAGAGCTTTTCTTAATTTATTTTTGGAAACACGTTTCTTAATTTATTTTTTGGAAACGCATCCTAGTTGCCTTGGGGTTAGGTTTTACTTCTCTATAAATACAAGCTCTCTCCCTTGTAATAGTTTGTGGATCCGAAAATAGCAATAACATTCCTGGCTTGGTAGCACCCCCAGACGTAGTCATTCGTGGCGAACTGGGTTACCAAATTTCGTGTGTTCTTTAATTGTTCTTCGTGTTGCGTAAATTAATTCCTAACAATTGGCATCAGAGCCCTAGGTTCGAAGGGAGATCTCATTATGGCAGACAATTTGAAGTCACCGATGATGCAGTTTGATGGGACTGATTTCGGTTTCTGGAAGTTGCAGATCGAAAATTACCTGTACGGTAGAGATCTGTATCAACCTCTGGATGACAAGTCAGAAGACATGAAGGAGAGCGATTGAAAGTTGCTGGACAGGAAGACGATGAGCGTGGTTAGATTGTCACTGTCCAGAAACATCGCCCTACACACCGTCAAAGCAAAAACGACGAAAGAGATGTTGCAGATATTATCGGGTATGTACGAGAAACCGTCCACTGCGAACAAGGTTCACCTGATGAGGCGTCTTTTTAACCTAAAGATGTCAGAAAGTGCGGGAGTTGTGGAGCATCTCAACGAGTTCAATTTAATCACCACACAATTAAGAACAATTGAGATCAAATTCGATGACGAGATTCACACCCTAATTCTGTTGTTTTCTCTACCAGAAAGCTGGAACGGAACGATGACTGCAGGCAGCGCTTCAACAGGGAAGGAGAAACTGAAATTCGATGAAGTCAGAAATTTGGTGGTGAACGAAGAAATTCACAGGAAGGAATCAGGCTTGACTTCTGGATCATCGTTGAGTACAAAGAACTAGGGCAGAACGAAGTCGAAGTCCAAATTAAATCGTGAAAGATCAAGAATTAAATCCAAGCCAAACAGCAAGGGCAAGAAGGACAGAAGTCAGATCAAGTGCTGGAATTGTGAGGAGTACAGACACTTCAAGAGCCAGTGCAAGGAGCAGATCAAGGATCACAAGGAGAAGACATCTGCCAATGTAGCGGCAGAATCATCTGGCGATGATCTCCTGGTCCTGGGCGTGAGCAGTCTGTTGGAGTCATGGGTTCTGGATTCTGGAGCTTCGTTCCATTCATGTGGTAATGCTGAAGTGATGGAACAGTATACTCCCGGAAATTTTGGAGAGGTGTATCTTGCTGATGATGAGCCTCTTAAAATTGTTGAGAAGAGTACAGTCCATATTATAACTCCGAA